ATTACGTCCAATAGTGAGTCAGATTGATTCGCCAACTTACAGATTGGCTCAATACTTAGCTAATATATTATCACCACTCAGAGGACACACAAGAGCACATACTAAGGATTCATAGCATTTTGTCAGTGAGATAAAAGACCTACGTCTTACTGACAATGAAGCCATGGTCAGTTTTGATGTTCAGTCTCTATTTACATGCCTACCTGTTGAAGACTGCATCTCAATTATAACTAGGAAACTAGAGGAAAATAATATGCCAGCAGAATATGCAGTATTACACAGACATTGCCTTACATCTGGCTATCTATTGTGGAAGGAAGAGTTTTACAAGCAAGTAGATGGTGTTGCGATGGGCTCACCTGTATCTCCCATTGTCGCCGATATATTCATGGAAGACTTTGAGGAGAAAGCCCTCCTTACTGCACCTGTTACACCAAGGATCTACAAGCGGTACGTAGACGATACTTTCACAATTTTACCATCAGACAAAGTAACTGCATTTTCAAAACATCTTAATTCCATAAACTCTAAAATTCAATTTACTATGGAGTTAGAGGCAAATAATTCCTTATCTTTCCTAGATGTGTTAGTCATCCGTAATCCTAACAACACCGTTGGTCACACTGTGTATAGGAAAAAGACCCATACAAACCGATATTTAAACGGTGAATCTCACCACCATCCTTCACAGTTAGCTACCGTGGGCAAATCTTTGTTACACAGAGCACAAGGGATCTGTGACAGCAAACACCTGGCCGCTGAGCTTCAGCACGTCAAGCAAGTTCTGCACGACAACAAGCTTCGGGTCCCGCGCCTACGTCACAGTGACCGAGTGAAGCCGGCCACAGTCAAGCGTGTGCCTGCTGTACTACCATATGTCAGAGGTTTCACAGACAAGATTGGCTACATCTTGAAGCGAGCTTCTATTAGAACATTCTACAAGCCGCCGAAGAAGATTATTCAGTTCCTACCATGAGTCAAGTTTCATATTCTTCTACAAGATGCAGGAGTGTACAAGCTTGATTGTGAATGTGGTCTCTCTTATATAGGACAAACAAAAAGATCAATTAGAACCCGCGTAAAAGATCATATAGTTAATGTGAAGCATCAACGTTCCGGGAAGTCTGCAGTTTGCGATCATATCCCAGATGGCCCCAACCATTACATCAGATTTGATTTCAGACCACAAATCCTCGCGAAAAAACACCGATTCCTACCAAGGATGATACGTGAGGCTATTGAAATTAAAAAACATCCTAATTTCAATAGAGAAGGAGACTGGGTACTACCACCTGCTTGGGATCCTATAATCCATAAAATTAAAACTAAACCCAAGCATACCACTGCAAGACCTCAGGACATAGTCAGTTTATTTTGCATAGATCGGACCATAAACAATAATTTAAAAAGCTGAAGTTACTCCGGGTTTAACAATGAAATCGGGACGTCAGTCATCTCAGGCCCCCGTGACCATGGGTGCTGGAAAGCGCCCGAAACGTCGGGAATTAAAAATAATAGTAAAATAAACGCGATAAAATCCGTAAAAAGTAGTTTTAATAAATACTAATATTCCTTTTAACCACTCCTGGTAAGCTTGAAAATGCTTTGGCCCTTTACTTTGGCCCTAAAATATGTAATGTGTTAAATATTTCTTGTGATATATAATGTCCGTCAAAATAACATACTAAATGTCTATGGTCGATAAAACAAACCGAATCAATCGTTATTTTATATTGATGTTTTTTCTTATTTATTGTAATCATTATATTTTAAGCATTAATATTGTTTCAAATTTCCAAAAGGCCTCCAATATGAACTAAGCTTTGGACTAAGTAAAATCCTACCACCGGAGTAACTATCAATTCAAAAATTTCTTCATCATAATCATCTGCCTGTAACAGAACACTTGTAGACATATGTTCAATCACTTTTTTACCACCATTGAACCCATGGCATTTTTCTCTACACGAATTTCGCCTAATCACTCATCATTGGTGAACTGGGACAAGCGGTGCAACGATCTCGATAACTGTTATTTCCAACGAATCCTTAATTGTAACTGACACTCGAAACACAACAATAGCATTACACGCATGATAAAAGACAATAAGGTAACGGTTGATTTTCACTTGGACAAATACAGAAACACCTCGAAGTAACCAACATTGCATGAACTTTACGAACTACAAAATTTTTAACTTCCCGCCAAGAAAATTGAAAATTTTCAAAAATAGGGTTATTGGTTATTACAAGTTATTGGTTTCACCCCGATTTTCGAAAATCGAGTTTTCATCAGATCGCGACGTTTTGAGATCCCAGGAAGCTATTCTGACTAATTTCATTTCGTTTCGTGTGCGTGTGCGTGTGCGTGTGCGTTGCGTGTGCGTGTGCGTGTGCGTGTGCGTGTGCGTGTGCGTGTGCGTGTGCGTGTGCGTGTGCGTGTGCGTGTGCGTGTGCGTGTGCGTGTGCGTGCTTCTGCTCGCGTGTGCGTGTGCGTGTGCGTGTGCGTGTGCGTGTGCGTGTGCGTGTGCTGGTGCGTTTGCGTGTGCGTGTGCGTGTGCGTGTGCGTATGTGTATGCGTGTGTGTGTGTGTGTGTGTGTGTGTGTGTGTAAGTATGTAAACCTTTCATAACTTTTGAACATGTTGATCGATTGAGATGCGGTCCTCAAGATCTCAATGTAGAATACATTTGGTGATAATATGAACTGATTCGGACGAGTATCTTTTAAGAAATCTCAAAAATAAACAATATTTGAAAAGCTCTACCGATTGATTTAAAAAATTTATCTTCTTAACCTTAAAAAATAGCTTCGAATGCCATTTGGAAAAAAACGGTTCATTCTTCGTGGGATATCGAAGGTGAAAGAGTTTGAAAAAATTGTGTTTGTTTAACACAATTTCGAGATTTCGCAACATAATCTGGTAAATTTCGAGCGCTTTGCATTTGAAATTTTTGGGAAGTTACTGGGATGGCCTGCAATGTCAAGCAACTTTTTTATAGGTTTAGTCACAAACAAACTAACTAATCCACTAGGTGTGAAGTCGCTACTGCAGGACATGGACACATGTAACAGACCTTAAACCCAAAAGGCGACAAATGCATTATCATCCCTGAAGACCAAGATTGAATGCCTCACAACCTGTTATTATATTAGCTCTCTACATCTTTTAAACCAGAACGCAGCAGTACACGCATTCTTGATTTGACGGCGAAATTTGTAAGAAGTTGGTTGGTACCTACATAGATGGATTCCTAGCCTGAAAAGGATAACTACCACCAAGTAAAATCCTACCACCGGAGTAACTATCAATTCAAAAATTTCTTCATCATAATCATCTGCCTGTAACGGAACACTTGTAGACATATGCCTTTCGCATTTCATGTTTTATATTTATTATAATTGACACGCTTGTTACTATTAACTCTGAATCATATTACCGGATGCTTGCATGGTTGACACTGCTTCAAGTCTTCTGGCTGAGCATATTACAACTGCAACACTAGATGGTTATGCCATCATGTAGCTAAAATCATAAGTGTTGATATAACCCAGGGGGGAAGGTAAAAATTTGGAAATTCGTAACAGCTTTATGGAAACCTATTCTGGATTAAATATTATAAACTTTGAAACAGAGAGGACCAAAAAGTGTAGACTATATAATGCCGCCTGATTGAAGGGGAGTAGCCAAAGCATCGAGATAAACCTAGAAAATCTGCGCACACATAAACAAATGCCTTTTTCTATTTATTATTTCACACACACATAGATAAACTATCTCTCGGTGACATTGACAACTCGGATACAGACTCAGTATAGTCGCTCGACCGATCTGCATATTGTAAAGACCGTTAATTATTGTAATTTTATAATTTAAAAGGAGGTAAATAGGAATAATGTGATTAAAAATTACTTAAATAAGAAAAGTATATCTTTTAGTAAATTTGACGTGGCAAATCTCTTTTTGGAGCAAAAAAAAAACTGAACAATTGGTCATTTTTGTAGGACGTCAATTCAGCCGCGTAACTAGATTTAGTCTAGTGAGCAATGCGGCCTCAACTAGTTTTACTGTACGCATAAAATCGCGTGGACTTATATCTTGACAGAGGGAAACGCGTATGGCTACTTCCCGGTGGCCCGTGTTGCTCTTTGATCATTAAAACGTGTGGCAATTAACATACTTCTTTGTCCGTCCGAATTTGATCCAGTCATGTGGTATTATGATGTGCTTTGCATATTTTGTTCAATGATTATAAGTAATACAAGTTTTTGTTGGAAAAATCAATTATTATTTTAAAATTCTTCCTGCTGATAAAATACCTATAGTCCAATTGTTCACACATTTATTTTTATGTAAACTGTCTTTTGAATGTCCTACGTAAGCCTTTTGTTTTTGTATATCATGGTGTTTCTGTATGCTTTACGCGCCCATTCTTCGTTTATACATATTTAAGTGATGTTTAAAGCAAATAAAGAAGCCTGAATCCATTACCATAATTTTGATTACGAAGAAGAAGAAATAGACATTTTTCGCAAGGCAGATTACAACTTAATTCATTTTCAGTCGTCAAAAAATTTGATGATTGGTGAGACTCTAATTGTCCTAATAAAATTTTATATTTTGCCCATAGTTTATTAACACACATATTGACTCCAAAGTCGTTAATTTATTATGCTATCTTATTATAGCCCCTTAAAGTTGTTTCATATTGAGAATCTTAGTAACCTATATTAATGTTATATTTGAAACAGATATAAATTATTTAAAATAATCACTGGCAACTGAAAAAAAGGAAATCGTCATGATAGAGATGTTAAAAGTTTTTGGTATATACTCAATACTAAATGCTGCTTTTTTTTGCTTAACATACCTAAGTGTGATATTTATAAAATAAACGAAAGTCAAATTGTTTTGGAACAGTTGAGACTAAAGATTAAAAAATAAAATAAAAAAGGTTGACGATAGTATACAAAGGAATTAATTTCCCATTTTTACTTACTATTTTCTCTGTTATGGTAGATGTCTAATAATAAAATATTGTTGATCTTCTTGGAAAGCGAATCGATACCAAACTGATTTCTATTGCATAGCTTAGCATGGTTTTGGGTTTCCTATTATCAGCAAGATTGACACTATCATTTTCTTTGAAAGCGTTTGAATACAAGCTGATTATATTATTATTACATTTTCATTTCATACTTCATATTATATGTCGGCAATCCACTGAGCTGATAGCGTCAATCATTTTTATGTATATAAATATTCAACTCATATATTAGTTTAGATAAATGAAATCAGAAAATTAATAAGGGTTTTTAAATATAACTAGTATTCAAATCAATGGTTTTTCCATAGCACATTAATTATCATATAGGTTAGTAGAATCTTATAATATGCAATTAATGAGGTATACAATTCAAATAAAGAAATAAACATAAATTAATGTTGGCATGTTGATAAAATAATTTTTGAGATAGCACTAATTCACGTTTTCTTAGAGTAGTATAATAACTTAAATGACGTCATAATCAAACGACAAGCATGTGGCGTCACCTACTAAAATTGGTACACATTTTACTTTAATTTTAAACTTAATCAATGATCTATTAAAAAGGCAAGCCCGTAGAATCACTCACAAGATTAGGTTATGTATTTCACGGATGCAACGCCAACATAGCACCATCAAGATATTTAATAAACCATTTATAGTTTCAATATCAAGAAGAAGTCAGAATAGAGGACTTAATAGCCTACTTCTCGATTAAATCTAATGAAATTGAATCCGAGATATCGCCCCGACCCACAAAAATGAGCTCTCAGAATTCGAAGTAAAATATTCCGCCGGCTGCTACAATTATTGGAATGAAAAATTTTACAAAAGCTGCTTACCATTTCTAATCGATTTTACGAATTAATGCTAGAAATTCGGAATAAAGCTTTAAAGTTATTTATTAGTTTAGAAAGACTAGCTGTTATTAATAAAGAATTTGAAGAGGAACATGCGAAGCAAATTGGAAAAAAAACCTTACCGAACCCGGAAACGACGACGCAAACCCGGCACTTGCCGTACTTCTTGTAACGCAACAAAAAAGAAAATTAAGATTAGTTTTCGATGTAGCTAAAGCAACGACAAGCACTAAAATAATGAGTTGCTATCCGGGCACGACTTACTTTTGTCGTTATTTGGAGGGCTCGTAAGCTATAGAAAAGGTTCTCTAACAGTGATAGCCGATATCAAAAATATTTTTAAGAGTTTAGAAATATAAGAATACAGAATCACATTGCTAATATTCGGAATCACATCTTCACCCAGCTCTGCGATATTCGTGTAAAAGTTGAGAGGCAAGCAACGATAAAAGAACATCACTATATGGACCACTACTTGTAATGTATTAACGGTACAAATGTAGCTAAAACATAGTAACTGAGATCACTTATACATTCAAAGTAAAGTAAAGTAAAATTACAGCCTATATACGTCCCACTGCTGGGCACAGGCCTCCTCTATTTTCTGAGAAGGTTTTAGAGCAAGGAAGTGTCCGCCGCGCTGCCCCAATGCATCTTGGCGAACTTCACGTGTCTTCGAAATATTTTTTTTCTTATTCTTCAGACATGCAGGTTTCCTCAAGATGTTTTCCTTCACCGCCGAGCACGTGGTAAATCAGCACTTAAAATTGCAATTAACAATTTCATTGGTGCCGGCGGGGATCGAAACCGGGTAACTCGCGTTTTGTTATATTTACAGCGAGCGATAACCATCTGAGCTGTCACTTATACATGAGAAGGGAAATTTTCATTCGCGATGTTAGGCAAGCAATGATTTAACCGTAAAATATTTTTCAAACATCCAAAGCTCTGGTCAAATCAATTCCTAGTATCTGAGAAGAGAAGTCACGATACTGATTGAATGCATTGCCGTCTTCGAACATTGAAGCACTTTTGTACATTTTCACTTTAACCAATGGATTTCAAAGACTCCATGTGACTAATCGCGAAACATTTTTCGTTTGAACGTCTGAGAGATCAAAAAATAGTTAAATGATTAAAGGAAAAAGAAGACAATGGCTTGGAGAAGATTTGGACGGTGAAGACTCCCATTGTTAAGAAGACTAGCTCATATGAACGCCAGTTCACACGAATCAGATTATTCAGAGCAACACTACATCTCTAATTCTGAAGAAGTTCAAGATACAAATATACAGTCTTCTGACAACAGTGATATTCCACTTGAACGATTAAGTGTAAAATTAGAGTTGTAGCCTATATACGTCCAATTGCCGGATACAATGGTAAATGGAATGTCCGCCGCGCTGCCTCAATACGTGTTGGTAAACTTCACATGTCTTCGAAATAGTTTTTTCTTATTTTTCAGTACTGGTTTCCACACGATGTTTTACTTCACCGCCGAGCACGTGATAAATCAGCAGTTAAAATTGCAATGAAAAATTTCATTGATGCCGGCAGGGATTGAACCCGGGTTGCTCATGGAATGTGAAACTACACTTAAATTAGAGCACTTTTACGATAGCTGTACTTGATAGGCACACAAACATCACGCCATAGTATAAAAATTCAAAATGTATTCTCAGCTGATGAAACCGGCACGGATATTGTAAGGGAGGTACGGAGGCATATTCGGCGGGCGGCGTGCATTCTGAGATTTAGATTTTTTTACGCTGTTTGAGGTTTGACAGAGTTATAACACAGCATGAAAAGCTGAAATTTAAAAATGAATTGTATATCTATATATATATATATATATATATATATATATATATATATATATATATATATATATATATTTTGTATAACTATATATATATATCCAGTCACTATATTTCTCAGTCACAATATACAACTTTAAAAAAACGATGCGTTTATTGCCCAAGAAATATTGATCGAAAATATTTAAATATGGATGGAATACATTTAAATATCTATATTTACGTATTTTATTTTATATATATAATACATTATATAAAATATGAAGAAACTTTCTTTTAAAATTTATAATTTATTATTAAAATTAATTTTAAAAAAGGCAATTAAAAATAAGTATTTTATATTTCATAAATAAAATTAACAATAAATTACAATGTTTATAACAAATAAAAAAACTATCACTGTTTGTCCGAATTTTCACCATCATTTTTTCTTTCTTTTGATTTTGTTGGCTATGGTCTTTGTTTCCAGCCCGCTGGGTCCTTATCTTACTTCCCAAAAGAAAATGTATATGTTACTGTTAAAGTCCGAATATAGGTAAATTTTAGTTTTTTGAGCTGGTAAATGTATGTTTTGGTATAAAATGAAACGATTTTTCGTGCTTTTACCATTACAATTTTGTACATTTCAGGTTTTACCCATGACTATCAGCAAATGTTGGTTTTGGGAATAAAAATATGTAATATAGGTAGAAATTTATTAAACTGTAAAAAAGAGTCTGTCAAGACTTTCCAAGCTCTATTTTGCTTTCTTTCTTACCGCTAGTATAGATTCAATCTTTTTTAATATTGACTTTATAGGTACAAGAACTTCCAGCGATTTTCTCGTGATTTTTTCTCCGAATCAGTATCGCATTATTCAGTAACATTAGAAACATCGGTTATTTTTTTACCTTTCACCTTCTTAGTAATAATCTCTTGATAGTGTTAAGGGAAAATGCCTTTTGCAACTTTTCTCAGCATTATTATTATCTTCTTTTTCGTGTTCAATTACATTTTTGGCGATATTATTTTGTTCTGAATTTATCTGTAAATGCAATAAATACTCCAAATCTTCTTCAAATATTAAAACTCTAATCTTATCTCCAGGGATCGCAGCCATATTCATTGGTCAACCAAACATTGTCTACATGAATTTTAAGCCCTATATCTACTGCAATATATGGTTGAATTTTTTTCGCTTTAATGAGATAAACACTGTAAAGAATCCCTTGATTTTTTTATATCTTGACAGCCTTTACTTCCTCTAGCTTCTTTACTTCCTCTTTGAGTATTTACTCTATCGAGACAAAATTATAAAGTTATTGTCATTCTTGTCACGAGCTCTTTTCGTAAAATCTTTGCATAGTGATTTTGTCTTATAAATACTTTGAAACAACAAAAACATAGAGAGAAACCGAATCAACGAGAGAACAGTCATGTTGTGAGTCGCGACAGTCGGTCGTATAGTACTAGTACGTTCTATGGTACCGACTGTGGCGAGCAGAGAGATGTGACACGAGGAGCGAGGGGAGGTGGAGAATTGCACAATGTTTGTGAGTATATTATGCAACCTCGCCCCTGAACACTTGACTGACTATTTATCAACATTTTACGTGTCTACGACCTAAGAGTTACTAAAAAAATACTAGTAAAGGTCTAAAATTAACGATTTCCACAGAACAGTTCAGTCTTTTACCATTAAGACTTGGTAAATCTTAGGGTTTACTGAAAATTTTTATAGTCTAGTCACTTTAGCATAAAAAGTGTCAACCTCGTAATTAGTTTTACGTGATTATCTCTGTTTCTATTGCTCCAATGAAGTTAAACTTTATTATAAAATTGTACAATATAAAATTTGCGGCAGGTTTTATTTGAAACATTTTTGATGCACCTCAACCGTTTCTGCGACAGAGGGTGGTAAGTGCGCAACTCTCTGCCATACGTACTGTAATGCAAGGTCAAACGTGGATATATCTCTCATTCCGAGTTTGATCGGTAATTTAACTGGACTATTAGAATTTACCGTGGTTCGAGCTTTTGCAGTAACATAAACCGTTAAAACTTATATTTAGAAACTACTTTTCTATTAAGAAGTTTAGCATTATAAAATCTATACAAAATTTTCTATCATGTGGTCTAAACAAAAGTCGGGTTTTACTTCATTACAAAAAGATTTTATTGTATTTTGATAACAAAAAAACATACCAAAAGAATGTCGGCAGCGTGAATATCAAAATTATTTCAATATATATTACTCGAAATTATTCCCATAAAATGATAAATTATATTCACACAAAAACTTTCGTTACAATTTTATAATATAACACTATACTGAAACACTAATAAAACACTAGAAAAATTCAAAAATCAACACAATAACATTTACGCGAAAATGACGTACGAAATGAACGTAGATTATAAATAAATATTCATAGAATAACAGTTTTTTTATTGCACTAGAGGATAGAGTATTTCATATTGATTATATAATGCTAAACTTCTTCATAGAAAAGTAGTATCTATATATAATTTTTTATGGGTTACAGTGCTGTGGGTGGGTGCGACCTCATGAGACCGCCTAGGGATTTGACGGAATATGGACGCGGTTTGATGAGACCGCTAGGGGGTTAAGAGGTTAATAAAAGTATATAGTGGAACTGCCGTCCGGAAAAAGACTGGCTGAATAGACAGGTTATCTGTGTGCCTTATTCAAAAACTAAACACCAGTGAAAATGAATTGGCAAAAAAGGCTAGAATCCCGAATACACCTCTTAATGTCTATGTCTCTCGAACCCACAGATATCGAAGAAATAAAACGGATTATACTAAGTTTAAAAACAAATAGTGCCCCTGGATTTGATCTCTGTTAGACTTCATATTTCTCTCTGAGCAAATATCGTATGTTTGTAACTTAAGTTTAGAGCAAGGTGTTTTTCCTGCCATTTTCGAGGAAGCTACGGTTTGTCCTATATACAAATCTGGTGATAGGCAGCTCCCTTCAAATTATAGGCCAATTTCACTTCTTAGTACTCTGTCAAAGATATTGGAAAAGGTCGTGAATAAACGATTAATACGGTACCTTGAAAGAAATAATTTTATTCATAATAATCAATTTGGCTCTCGTTCGGGCAGGTCAACAGAAGATGCCGTATTAAGATTAACATCTCTGGTATCAAAATATCTTAACTG